TTACATTTATAAGAATTATATAAACTGTAATGCAAAGTTGAAATTATTTGTTTTAAAGTATATTAGATCTATAGTCAAAATTAAAATTAAAATCTGAATTATTTTCGATATACAAAATGATTTTTTTCTTCCAAAATCAATTATTTTGTTAAAACAAGCAGAAAAGTTCTTTGAATCATTTAAATTGGACGCTTAGTTCTCTCTCTAAAACTGCCTTTTTTTGCACATTTAGCTCTTATCTCCGAAACGGCTGGACCTGCCTTTGCTAAAAGCTAATTACCACTTCTCCCCATCATTACAAATTGAATGTTTTTTAGATCATTCAAATCGGATATACTCCGTTCTCTCAAAATTATCTCGATTTAAATTATCTGCACTCTTTGCTTCGTATCTCAGTAACACTATTTGACGAATTTGTTAATAAAAGATCAGATCACAATATCATTCATGACTCATATCTAAATTTTTTAAACCTGATTAAAAACAATTAATCCTAATAATTTTTGAATATGTATATATATACATGTATATATGTTATAATATATGTACATCCATATATGTACTTATATGTATGTTTTTGTGTGTACACTATATACATGCACTTGCATATATGCTCATGTATATAATTGTGGATACATTAATATATAGATATGTGCATATGTATGTATGAGTATGTGGGTGTGCATATACATGTGCATGTATGTATGTATATATATACATAATATTTCTCAACATTTACTAAAGCAATATTTCCTCTTTTTTCGTAAATTACCAAACAAGAGCCATAAAAAATCATTTTTGCCAAGAATTCCGAATTGTCCTTTACATCTGGCAGACAGAAATCCATATCAGTGTGTTTAAGTCTTGTGTAGTCGTAACATCTACAAATATCTTCCAAAAAAATCGAGTGTTTTTAACAAAAAAATATTAGTGATATGGATATATAAATTATTACAGGTAAATAATTTTTGCTTCTCAATTTTATATAAAACCTTTTTTAGTTAATTCTTATTACTCTTTACCCCGGTACATAATCCATTCCTTTATAAATTTTTTTTTTCCAATTAATCTGTATTGACCATCGTTAATTAATGTTAATCAATATTTTTAAAAAAACATTGTATTTGACAGAATAAAGCTGATGATGGAACGTACCTAGTTCCGAAACGTCGTATTAAACATCTTCAAAAAACAAATTGTTTTTTATTATTGGATTTACTGTTCGGAAAAGAAACAATCAATATATTGAAAAAATCCAGGACTTATCTATTGAATATATATATATATATATATATATATATATATATATATATATATATCTTATATATAAAAATGGATCGCAAAATGTGTTGGTAAGCGGATAACTCTAACAACGCCTGGACCAATTTGGCCAAATCTTTTTTTAAAATGTTCGCTGAAGTCCAAGGATGGTTCTTACGGCGAGCAAAAATCGAATAATTGCCGGGAAAACCCTAAAAACAGCCCTTTTCTTCTTTAATCGAGTAGGCAACGCAATTTTAACAAAAAAACGATGATCCATGTCATGACATTTTGTGTAGTTTTTGATAATCTAATTTTGAATATATTTATATAAACATAGAAATATCTTTCTATTAATTAACGAGCTATATTGGCTGCCAAAAACATTGATGTAAATGAATTAAATTTCAAAATTCAAGAACAAATTACAGGCGAATCAGTTGATTCGGCAACTAACCAAGACGATCCGCCGGAGTTTTTAAACTCCGCTGGATTTGCTAGGATTGTCACCTCACAATCTTCAATTAAAGGTTGGATCGGCAATTATAATGTTGCGAAATATCGACCAACTATATTTAAAGGATAGTATAAAGCAGAAGATGTTCTCGCACCATGCATCCCAATGCGTTTCCAGTGCGTTTATGGTATCATTAAGTGTTTGTGGTATTTATTTAGAAAACCCATGTTTCTCACATGGATAATTGTATGTTGTTTGTTCCCGTATTGGAAAACCATCAGATTTGTTTGTCTATGCGCCAGGTAATCAAATAAAAAACATCGTTTATCACAAAGCACTACAATGAAAATTGAACTGATTTTTGAATTATGATTTACATTATTAAAATTACTTACTATTAAATGCTTATAGTGTTTTATTTAATTATTTTTAATTCACACCGAATTGTTTGCAAACAATAGAAAAAAGATAGGCACAAAACACCGCCACATTACAATTTTTTTTGACAGGACGAAGTCTGTCGGGCCGGCTAGTATTATAATATTTTTATTACCGTTCATGTATATAGTAAGTTTGGCCTCCATAAAATCCCTGAAACCATCAAGTTTCCTATAAGCACTATGAAGGGATACGAAGGCGAAAGGGACATGCCCTTTGTCTTCGTCTCTTGCTGCGACCACGCAGCAGCGCTTTACTGCTTCGTGTTCTAGAAGAACTCTCTCGAGTTCATCGTGGGTAAACTAGAAGGATTAATATATATATATATATATATATATATATATATATATATATATATAAGTAAGTTCTTCAAGGGCATACATCAAATAAAAGGCAAAGATTTAGAAGTTAATCTTTAATTTTTCCAAACGTTTCGACATAGGATTTTATGTCATCATCAGTGGATATAATGTAAGACCATATTTATATCCACTGATGATGACATAAAATCCTATGTCGAAATGTTTGGAAAAATTAAAGATTAACTTCTAAATCTTTGCCTTTTATTAGATGTATGCCCTTGAAAAACTTACTCATATTTCTCAACATCAAAACCAACTTCTTTAACATATATATATATATATATATATATATATATGTATATATATAATATATATATATATATATATATATATATATGTATAAATAAAATCTTACAAGTTGTTCCTTGTATTTAAAAATATCCTCGTTGCATCTATCGATATAAATATATCCCCAATGGTCAAAATATCCAAAATCGCCAGTTTTCAAATAGCCATCTTTATCGAAAATTTTATTCGTCGACGGGATGTCGTTCCAGTAACCCTAAAATAAAA